ATCATTGCCTTTCTTGAAGATTATGTAGATGAAATATATAATACAATGATTGATGAAATCTTGAACAAAGCCAAATATTGTGCCTACACAATATTTTGCTGTACAGTTCCATTCATCATTCATTTTACACTGGTGCAGGTATGTAATTAAAAGTACAAATTATAGGAGATTGATACAAGCTCTACAGGGAAAATTATGGTGTGTCATATATAAGGAAAAATGTGTTGTCTGGATTGTTTTCTACTGTACTTACTATATTATGTTTACATATTACTGTATATTTATCAGGGTTGTGGCCTTACCTTTTATGTTGAGGATTTGCCTCATCCTCTGTCTCAGTTTTAGTTGATTCACTTATTGATTCTTCTTCATCATATAAATCACCTGATGGAGGCATTCCAATATCTGAGCTTACTAGCTCATCAAAATCATCTGATGGAGGTATTCCAATACCTGAGCTACAATGTGCATCATCACCTGCTGTGGTTGACATGGTACTAAGATGTGCATCTTCTCCTGTGTTTTTTACAATAATAGAAAATTTCTTATATTGTTAACTATTGCAGCTGGGACACTGCATGTTACAGTATGTGCAAGTTCAGAGGCTACAGTATACTGGTGTAACATAAGACCAAAAGAAATCAATACATATGACTTACCAAAACTTCTTGCAATTTGCCTTCTGCAAACGTCCAGCTTATTTTTTGCAGACGGACAGTCACTTTTAAAGACAGGTTACAGCGGCTTCTGCGCATGCGCCAGCCTGGGGACTCCACTGGAAGTTGATAATCCCCCGGATTGTTCAGTCTGTTTACTTCTCGCTATTCTCAGAGAAGCAAAAAAAAAAGCGAACTGCGTTAAGCGCACAATATTCAATCTTTCAAGAGCACTGAGTCATGTCGTCGAGTAGAAAAGAATATTATGCTAGTAGAGATGCCTCTAAAGTGTATTTGTTGGGTTCTTTCCCTCGATGGAGAGCGTTTAAGGAGCAGCATAAATTGAGAACAGACAAGGATGTGGCGGATATGCTTCTTGACAGCTATCTTGCGATGAATCGTATAGTTTGGTAAGTATAAAATGATAAAACCTCTGACCTTTTTTGTGTGTTATTTGTTTACATGATAATGCTTTTTTATGTATGTGTTTAACTCATTTTAGCAATGCAGAGACGCAAACCGAAATGGTATCGAATCAACTGATATGCCGCCAAGTACAACACCTTCCAAATATTTTTCTTCTCCCAGTAAGAACATATGTTTTTAAGTGCTGCTCCAAAAACGTAAACATTTATTAGTTTTTTAAAACATTCGCATAAAACATTCGAATGAAATATTTTATAGTTGAAACCTCAACGCCAAGCACGCACTCAAATCCGCGTCCATTGTCTGCTTTGTCGGATGTTGGAACATCATATTCTATCAGGTAATTTGAAACTTATTGTGATTTTTAAATACGCAATATGTGTTTATATCTCAGGTTGGGTTTGAGTGTGATTTCTGACAGTCGAACATTGACAGCCAAAGATGATAGTTCTGATGAGGAAAGTGATGATGATAATGACAATTTTGGTGTACACACTACCCAGGTAGACCAGGTTTTGTCGGACGATTCTCTTGAGTAAGTGATGATGCAAAACCTCAATAATAATCTTTGTGACATTCCTACTGTAATGCTTATTATATACATAAATATACACATTATATATCACAGAATATGGCATAAAATATTTAGTCCAATAATATCTCTAACTGCCATTTTACTGTTGTGCATGTCCCTCGGGTTTTGACGTGCCATTACTGGATGACTTGCTCAATGTGACAATCCATGGACATGATGGAGATAAGCCCACAGAAGATGTTGGAACCCAACAACAACAACAACAGCAGCAACATAAGACGACTTAACCAGAATACATCTCTACTGTGGAAGAAGTCAGTCCTGAAGATGCAATCAATAAGAAAAAGTGTATTGTGTTTACAGACACTCTTATAGCTTTGATAACATAATTACATGGGAGTGTTTGTAAACGACAAGGATGTGGCCATGTGTTGAGCTATAAAAAACATATGTTGGAACATGCCTGGGGGTGTAGGTCTGGTCATGTTGGAGGCAGATGGGCAGCTCAACCCTCTTGCAACAAGATTAGAGCAAGCAACCTCGTGCTTGCTTCTGCTTTGTTGTTGTCTGGCAATTCCTATACCTAGGTGGGGTTGATGTTCAACTTCTGTAATCTGCAGTATTTCTCATCAACATTATTCAATCAGTATCAGAAGTTGTACATCATCCCTGCCATTAATGACTACTGGGAAAAAAACAAACAGAAATGTTGGTAAGAAAGAGAGAACAAAGATGTTATATTGAGTGGTGATGGAAGGAATGACTCGCCTGGCCATAGTGCACAATATTGTACTTACAGCTTGGCTGATAACAATGATCGTGCCATACTGCAAATGAATGTGGTTGATGTGGGAGAAGCTGCTGGCAAGAGCAATACTATGGAGAGGATTGGGTTTGAAAGAGGGATGGACACACTGCTTGCATCACCAATAGTTATGAAGGAGGTGGTAACTGATGGTCATATTGAAATTGCTGCATTGATGAGTAAGTATCTACATTATAACAATATGACAATTCCTGAAACTCTAATAGTTCAACCTGTTATAATCAATATTGTCAGACTTTCAATAATTTAACAACTTCATTTGCAGATTGATTACAATGTTATATAATTAATTGTGTTTACCCTTTAAAAGACAGTAAGGGAATATTTACAACATGCATTTGTTTATTAATTAAGCATTATTGCATTTTTTCGAAAGGGAAGAGAAATATAAGGAGGTCACACATCATGTGTGGCATGGAGCAAAGAACATTGCAAAGAAAATCACTACTGTAAGTGTTGAAGATGTCAACCAGCAATTAGTTAAAAAACTTTCTTTATTTATAATTGATTTTATTTTTTAGGCTGCTAAATCTAAAGACAATGCAGATTTGACCTTGTGGGCACCATGAATAAGGAACCATTTTTGGTATTCTTTAAAAACATGTGCTAATGACTAAAAAAATCTCAAAGTAAGATTCACATTGAAGTACTCATGGTTTTTGCAGCAATACTTATCTAGTTCGTGCAAACCATACATACATGTGTTAATATGTAGTCACTTTATGTTGTATTTTTTATATTTTTTAATAGGATTAGTGGATCTATTAGTGAGCATGAGTGGGTGTTGGAGGAAGGTGTAAATGGTGGAAAATGTGAACATGATCCTCTTAATGAAAGTGAGAGAAAGAAGCCATGGCTTAATTAAGAAAGAGTCTTCTGCCCATAAAGCACTGGCAAAGATCATTCTGGACCCTCGCTTTTTAAACACTTTGGTGTATTATGTTAACTTCAGATAACAAATGAGATTGGATATTTGAAAATTTCAGATAAGTTATATCATCTCAAAGTTTGAAATATGTTTTAGGCACACAGGATTTTTATAGTCCTTTCATAACGTAATTTTGATGTATGCTCCAAAGCGCCATGCCTATTTGTAAGTATATGACATATTATTACAAAGGTAACAGCTAATAAAACTCCTATCATGGTTGATTTCCATGCAAGGAGGCATTGCTAATAAAAGAATGTTGATGTTTGTTGTATCTTCAAATACTAAGTATACCAAGCTAGAAACTAGCTTGCTGCCTTGGACTTTAACCTCCACAGAGGCCGAGCACCAGCAACTACAGCTGTTGTGAAAGAAAGGTACTGGTATTGAAATTTTCGCCTTAGTATTCCCATCCTAAGTGTGAACAACTTTTCAGGTCCTGTGCATTCTTATAGTGTAATGGTGCTCATATTGTATCGAATTGTAAAGTTTTTTTTTTATTAGGTACGGTCGGAAGTTCAGTAAGCGTACACAACAGTGGTGCCGTGTTCGTGTTCTTGTACCAAAAGAATTTAGTTACATTCCTGAACTGATGCAGAAGGTTTTTATAAAGAGGATCACATTAGAAGGGAATGTAAACAAAAGACTTGGTATTCCAAGTGATGATCCTAAACAAATTGCACCCAATATTGTCGCTGTTCCTCCTTTATCAGTACAGACACTTGTCGACACACATAAAACAAGAAGATTTTAATGGTTGTGGGTAAAATCAAGTTACTTTGGGTAGGTGGAGCTCATTAGCCATGGTAGGCAGTTCACCTAAGAAAAGGAAAACTCTAATTTCAAACCCCCAGACTTTAGGTCAGGCTGTCCATGTCGGAATCATTGATGTTATCATCATTTCATTTGTGTTTCCTAGGCATGCTGACGAGCTCTGATATAGAGTGAAACAGCCATAAATTTAAGAGCCCATTTTCAATGACACATAATATCTTAAATGGAATGTTTTATTAAATTATTATGATATATGTATAGGGTGTCCCAAAAAAGAAACACTTTGAAATTGGAAAATTAGCATTTAGGTTGATGCTAATCATGCACATGGACAATTACAACAACTAAATCAGCATTACAATGTATGAAGACTAAAATGAAAAATTTACCCAGCCATATATTTTATTACCTTGCTGGCTTAGCCCAATTCTAAAAATGTTCACTTGCATTGTATTGATATAATATAATACAATATAATAATATACTTTATGTTCTTGAGCATTAATATTTTTGGGCCTGCTATAACATCAGGCCAAAAACATATTTATGCCCACAAACATCAATTGTGGTTTATTTTGGTCTACTTTTTGGGGGCACCATTTATGCTTTAAGTGCTAAATTATCTAAACACGTGCAGGCAAGTATCCCCTGTACTGTCCATTAGGTGAAGGATAACGGTTACAAATAGCAACCACACAACAGCTTGGTACTACTCTCCTATTTCCCCTTCCTAATCTACCAGAACATAGTGTCTATATGCAGCATGACGAAAGTTTTCATTGTTCCTGACATTGTTTAACACCAAAACATCTTCTCTGTATCGCATTGAGATCTCCAAAACATTCCCATCAAGGATTAGTTGATTGAAAAGGTTTGTTCTTGAGATACAAGGACGTCTTGATCGGGTGCTGCATTTGTTCTCTTCTTGAGTGGGCATAATAATGCAGCACCCACACTTGCACCAATCTGGAGCATCATTATCAGGTTCTGGGTTTGGTGGGGTTCATTCCCGCTCACAAGCTCACCATTAACAATGTCAGCAAATGCTGCTGCCTGTCTTCTCAGCAATTCAAGAGCAAGCCTTCTCAGGTTGTCTATATTCATTGCCTGAACTAGATCCTGAAATCAGCATAAGAGTAAAATATAAGATATGCTGCATATGGTATTATGTTCAGAATAAATATATATCCAGAATCCTACAAATAAGTTTAGTAATTAACCCATTAAGCCACAATGTGCCGCAGTCAGTGTGCCCTACTTTTTTGGGCAAACAGCAGACTGGGGTGCATTGTGGTTAAGATGTGTAGCAATGTTTGTCAACATGACCAGCAGAAAATGGGTAATTCAGTCATCAACAAACAACATTAACACTGGAAAATGTGGTTCCAGCTAAAGTTTGTGTTGACAAAAATGTTACTACCTTTAAGCGCTCCAGCATTATGTAAAATATAATACAGAATTGCACTACACATTCAGTTACCTGCTCAAGTTTATGCAAGTCTTCCATAAATGCCTCTAGCAAAGGCTCTATACCATATAGCTTCAGGTGTTTACAAGTTATCAAACCAAGAAGTTGAACAGCATTCATGTGAGAGCGGTTGCATGGTTTGATGTTCCCAAGTGTGTAATACAAAGCACCTTAAACAAACAAGATATAGAGCAAAGATATATTGTATTAGTAGCATATATCATAAAAACAATGCCATAGAATCAAGTTTGTGTCCATAGCCTACAGTTCATCATACCAAGTTTATGCTTGTTAGCTCTTGATCCCAGTGGATTACAAACTTCAAATTCATCAAAATACAACAAAAGTTGTAATGCATATGGATCAATGCCAAATAGAGGATGATCTTTAAAGTACAGTGGTCCCTCGCTAACTCGAACTCCCAAGGGGAAAGAAAAATTGTTCGAGTTACCGGGGGTTCGAGTTAACCGGAGTTGGTGTCAGATTATGTTTATTATATAAGTAATACAATAAGATATAAAATCCAATCGAATCATTCTTTAAGGGATACCAGGCCTCTCAATATGAATGGTCAGCGAGAGTGGACGACGTTTTAAAATTAAAAAGATCGAAAGAATACAAAAGGAACTAAAAAAGTCAGATCAATAACGACCATAGCACCACACAAAATCTTTTAAAATTTATAAGCATTTATATACAATTATACACTGATTAACTTGTTGTTATGTTGATAGTTTCCAGTTGTCAAAATTCTATCTTCTCACATTTTAAAGTTTGCTGATCTATGATTCGAAACCAAAGTTCGAGTTAACCGGATATATTTGACCAAGGGGAAACAAAATTTGTTCGAATTAGCGAGGAGTTTGAGTTAAGCGAGTTCGAGTTAAGCGGAGTAAATTACTATAAAAAAACACTATCAAATTCAAGGGGAATTGGATTTAGTTCCAGTTAGCGAGGAGTTCAAGTTAAGCGAGTTCGAGTTAGCGGGGGACTACTGTAATCAGTATCACAGAAATCATCCAAATACCCATCATCCCTGGCATGTGGATTTTCCACCTAGAGTGAAAAGGAATAAAATTACATCTGATAATTACATTAATAATTTATCACAATGGCTCACCATTTTGCAATGAATTGTAATAAATACTATATATACATATACATATACATATACATATACATATACATATACATATACATATACATATACATATACATATACATATACATATACATATACATATACATATACATATACATATACATATACATATACATATACATATATATATATATATATATATATATATATATATAGATATATGCATGTTGACAGGTGCATCAGCGGGAGGGAAAAAAATATGCTACCTCTTCCAGAATTGACTCATCATTTAGAAGCTGCTGTAGACTTTCAAGTAAAGGAATGTAAAATGCATCGTCTGTTTTCTCAACTACTTTAAGTTGTCGTCCTCTTCTGACTTTCACATGGGATCTATGAAGCACTATCTTTCTGGGTTCCTTATTTTAAAAAACATATTTTAGAAATTAACAATGTTCCATTTTTACAATACCAGGTTGTTTACATGACAGCAAGTAAGAGGCTGATTACATGCCCCAGGGAGGTGGGGATATTGGCAACATCCTTCTTTCAAGAAGAAACTAGTGTCTAGTAGTCACAAAGCATGTGCTGTATACTCCCCCTTAGGTATAGGTGGAAATTAGACTGACAAATCGTCCCTAGAGAGGCAACAAGTCTAATTCCCCTCATTTCTCTGGGGTGGGGGTTCCAATGGCAATGACAGTGCATAAAACAGACTTACCACAAGATTAAAATGGTTGAGGTTGTATTGATGTTGCTTTTGTTCGGTTTCGATACCACGTAAGGGATTCATAGCAGAACTGTCCTGATCAAAGATTTGTTGCAACCCTGGAATGTCTTCAATTGCTTGCCCAACAGCGGCAAGTCTTTCCTTGATCTCTGACATAGCAATGTTTAGACTGTTCCTTACCATCTGCGTACTGCTCTCGGCAAAAAGATTCACTACAGTTTGAGTCACACGACCCTTATCCTTGAAACCAAAAAGGCAGAGAGCATTATCTCGTAGCATATTTTCAGCAAGTACATGTGCAGGTTCAGCTTGTATGGCTGGATTATTTTCATCGTCAACATCCATATTCACATCCCTAGGAACATCGTTATTGTTCATAATTGGCTCATTTTCCTTTCCATAAATGTTGTGTTTTCGAATTAAATGATTTCGAAAAGATTCAACCCGTTTGTATGTTCTGGGACAACCATCGAGACCACAAACCACATGGAAACTTGGGTCATTTGAATGGCTTCTACGTAGGTGATCTAGGAGTTCCGTTAAAGACACAGTAAGGTAACCAACACACATGCTACAACGATAAACCATTTTTCATTCGTCGAATAAAAATAAAACTACATTATTGGTTTTGTAAAGGACATTTTTACACTTTTGCAATATATTTTTATAAAAAATATACCATGTTTCTTCATAAACTTCATAAACAGTGTTTCCACCCAAATTTTCCTTCTATATTCTCAAACTTCTGCATTTTTCTTGCCACGTCATCATTGCAAGATATTGGTCATCCAATCATGTGCTTCTTTGACGATCACGTGACAATGCTAATAAGAATAGCGCGCGTCGGTTTCAAAATTCTTTTCTCCCTCGTGCTCGCGAAAGATCCTAAGTCTTGAAATAATCATTTTAAAATACTGTATTTATACTGTGTAAAGCATATTTCAGAGACCAGATACAGAGAATGGATTCATTTTTAGAGGTACTGCAAAGATTATTTTATTTAAATGGGGAAGGATTGGTGGCAAGAGAATAAAAAAGATGCCAAGCCACTCGACTGCGCGTCTACGATCTTGAATTTATGCATGAATTTCTTAATAGTTTTCTTAATTCAACGACATTTTATTCGTTTTAGGAGACATCAATGGGCCTAGAATTGTCGGAGTTTTTGTTGAGTGCCGGAGTCAGCCAACAGGTACTGGACAAACTAACAGAAGACAAGGTAAATATCGATCACAAATTATATACAATAGTCATTAGTCAATACATCCACTGCCAGTAGGCGACAATGCGGTAGTCTGTCAGACTGTCACAGTCTTGATTAAATGTTTTATTTGTGCTGGATTTTGGGCGCACAATGCATTGTGGTTTACCATTGACTTTTGTTTATTCTACACTAAATGTGGCAGTCTGTCACAGTCTTGATTAAATGTTTTATTTGTGCTGGAAAGCTATAGCATACATGTCAACTATGTAGCAAAATTAATGTCAGTTAATAGTTACAATTTTTATAAAATATGGCTGTTTTATTTTCATAGCTCAATACAGTTGAGTTGCTTGAAGGAGTTAGTGATGTCTTGCTGAAAGAATTGGGTATCAAAGGAGGGCAGATTGTGAAATTAAGGATTGCTATCCAAAAATATAAAAATCAGGTAGGTTATAATTTTTCTGTATATCTTGTGCAGTGCACTCAGGTGAATAATATGATTGTGTTGTTACTCTGAGGGTATATATCCACACCGGGCAAGCTTGAAAAATATGCCTGACCATGGTGGGGCTAGAACCTACGACCTTTGGAATACTAGTCCAATGCTCTGCTAACTGAGCTACGCGGTCAAATATGGCCTAAATATTCTAAAATGTGGCCTGCTTTGGCCATTGAGAGCCTTGCTTGGTGGTCAACACCGTTCAAGTAAATTGAGCACGTCAGTTTTTAAGGTATAAAATCCCTGCTGTTGTAAATGGTTTGTTAAATCTGCTTTTTTACAATATATTTTTTGTAGGTTGATCTTTCAGTATCGAATTGTAACTCTAGCCCTAGCACTCCAAAAAGCGCTCGCTCAGGATCTGTAGATGGAAGCTGTTCTCCATTGCCAACTTTACCCCAACAATCAACCCCATTATTGCAGAACGTTTCAACCTCTTCATCTCCATCCAATTCCTGCACATCAAGTCCTATGTTATTCAATGACAAAGATTTGTCTTTTTCTGAAACTGAAGAAGTTTCCAGAAGAAATACTCAATGGCTACAGAATTTTGAATTACCAAGCATGGTATGTTGGATTGTGATGCATTTTGATTACATGTATTTTAACCTATTGAGCCTAATGTTGCACCCCAGTGCACTCTACTTTTTTATTTGTCTAATGCTAGATGATTGAACTTGTCAATGGGAAAGCTCTGCAGCTTAATGAGTTAAGCAATGTATTCATGTTATCCCAGATATGATATAATAAGATTATACTTTTGTTTATTTATAGTTCTCAAAAGACGTCACTGATGGCCTGAAAATGAAGAACATGACCAGTCGAGTTCGTAATGAGTTCACCCGAGATGTCTGCTCCTCAATCCGGGCACATACATTATATCCAACAAAGACAGAGAGGGAACATGTGGCATTGTTAATAATAAAGAAATACCCATTTTTGGCTGACAAATTGGGATCTGGAATTGTATGTAAACTATTAATTGCAACTTTACTCTTGATGTGGACTTGTGCTTGTGTCTGGTAATGTTTTAGCCCATGTTTTAGTTCCAGTAAGTAACAGACAGCATGTTGAAATAGATTATCAACACTCAGATTGTGTAAAGTTTCTTTTTTATATTATTGCAGGGTTCATGGGAACAAGCAATTAAAAATCACCTGAAAAACAAACGAAAATCAAAACCTAGTGGCATAAAGCGAAGCATTCCTACAGTCAAGCGCCCTGATGAAGTCAAGCCAAAGAAAATGAAAGTCAGTAGTGGAAAATTGCCTGAGATGGCGGAAGGGGAAACAGAGGAAACCTGCACAGAACACATCTCTATGATGAAGAAAGAAATGAAGAAAACTACCAATAGAAAAATGGCCTTGATAAAAAATTTAATGGAACTAACATATTCCCATAGAAGGCAGTCCATTTTGCTGCAACCAACAGCAATTGATAATGTGGTGAAAGAGTATTCTGCACTAGCTCTTCCATCTGAAGTAAATATATGTTAATTATAAAGATATTTTCTCCATGCCCATTCATGATTGGTGCTATCATTGCCATGATATTGTATCTTTATTCTATTAGGTTGATGATAAAGAATAGAAAATTTATGTGAATTAAATCTAAAATAACATTATTATTTTTAGCTTAAAGCCGAATTTGATCGGGTGATGGAGAAGGATGGTTATTTCAAGGACATGGTCGACCAATTTAGGGAAAACTGGGTGGAAAAAATCTTGAAACTAGCAAGTAAAAAATTGTGCTGCAAAGAAACCCTTGAGCTGTTGGAGGAAGAAGCTAGTGCAAATGAAACTGTGAATGAATCAGGTACATGCATAAATGGCTATTATGGTTATTTATAACCAATTTGTAAATCAGTATCTGTAATTATATCGCCATTTTCGGGGGCCCATAAATTCATAAAACTGTAAACATAGCAGCGCATTGCATGACGATTGATACTCATTCTTTAAGATGGCAAAACTGCAGTTATATATTATTAAATCCAATAACGGTATATTATTTTTAACAGATGTGAGAGAAACCACATCAGTGGTAGTTCTACCCATGTTAATGAAAGACCGTACAGCCACGACGGAACTGCTGAAAATTTGCAGGGTAAGTTCAAAAAAATATTTATCCTTTGAAACTTGTTGGCTGTTTCTGGCTTTTGAATAAGCTGGAAACTTTAAGGATATTATAGTCAAGTCTATAATAAAATGCCCATATCCATATCCAAGAGTAAAAATTTAGTTTAGAGTAGCTTTCACTCCCATTAAGAATAAAAATGTACTCCACTATTGGTGTATTATTTACTCCAAATTTAGAGTAAAAGTTTCATTTAGAGTAGTTTTCACTCCCATTAAGAATAAAAATGTACTCCACTATTGGTGTATTATTTACTCCAAATTTAGAGTAAAAGTTTCATTTAGAGTAGTTTTCACTCCCATAAGGAATAAAAAATACTCCACTTTTAGTATATTTTTAACTCCAAAATAAGAGTAAAACTTTAAACTGGAGTATTTTTTACTCCTGCAAGGGTAAATATTACTCCATTAGTGAGGTAGAAAGTACTCTAAAAATGGAGTTAAATTAATGGAGTAAAATATACTCCCAAATCAGAGTCAACTGGTACCTTTTTTTTTTACTCCTTTTTTGGAGTAGTATCTACTCCTTGAAATTAACAGTGTATCCCAGACACATCTGGCCCAATTTACGAATCGACACAGTTTGTTTACGGATCGTAAACGAACAGTTTATTCGATACCAATGGTACGGATCGACAAGCTTTTGAGAGCCCTGTCCTATAGACACATCATGCCCTATTTACGAATCGACACAGTTTGTTTACGGATCGTAAACGAACAGTCCATTCGATACCAATGGTACGGATCGACAAGCTTTTGAGAGCCCTGTCCTAGACACATCATGCCCTATTTACGAATCGACACACTCTGCTTACGGATCGTAAACGAACAGTCCATTCGATACCAATGGTACGGATCGACAAGCTTTTGAGAGCCCTGTCCTAGACACATCATGCCCTATTTACGAATCGACACACTCTGTTTACGGATCGTAAACGAACAGTCTATTCGATACCAATGGTACGGATCGACAAGCTTTTGAGAGCCCTGTCCTAGACACATCATGCCCTATTTACGAATCGACACACTCTGCTTACGGATCGTAAACGAACAGTCCATTCGATACCAATGGTACGGATCGACAAGCTTTTGAGAGCCCTGTCCTAGACACATCATGCCCTATTTACCAATCGACACACTCTGTTTATGGACTGTAAACGAACAGTCCATTCGATACCAATGGTACGGATCGACAAGCTTTTCAGAGCCCTATCCTAGACACATCATGCCCTATTTACGAATCGACACATTCTCCTTACGGATCGTAAACGAACAGTCCATTCGATACCAATGGTACGGATCGACAAGCTTTTCAGAGGCCTATCCTAGACACATCTTCCCTATATTTACGAATCGACACAGTCTGTTTATGGATCGTAAACGAACAGTCCATTCGACACCAATGGTAGGGATCGACAACTTTTTCAGAGCCCTGTCCTAGACACATCATGCCCTATTTACGAATTGATACACTCTGTTTACGGATCGCAAACAAACAGTCCATTCAATACCAATGGTACGGATCGACAAGCTTTTGAGAGCCCTGTCCTATAGACACAACTTGCCCTATTTACAAATAGACACAGTCTGTTTGGGGATACAGCTGTTTACGCCTTAGACACACATTAGTTTCCATGCCTCATGTTCTAGTCGACAAAATGCGTTTACGAAGCGACATAGTTTATTTACAGATCGTAAACTAAGAGTCTATTTGATACCAATGGTGCAAATGGTTGCCTACTTCTCACGAATAGAAATGCCTAAACCGCTTTACCATCCGTATAAAAAATTTTACGAAACGAACGACCCGTATGCTTGCAACAGTATTGGACAACCATCATTATGTTTTATTGTTTTTACACAAAGGCTTTCAAAAATAATTGTATGAAATCAAGTGTTGACAAAGGCTCATCTTACCACTAAATGCTGCTCATGATCTGCTTGATTTTCAGCAATATTTGGCTATTCTACCAAACGCCCCCTGCCTCTCCCACAACCTCTTCCACTACCTCCCCTTCCACATCCCTGTTAGGGATGAGCCGATAAGGAAAATTGCCGATTACTGAGGCCGATTATTTATGAGCCGATTATTGGAACTAATCGGCCGATTAATCGGTAGCTGCCGATTATTTAGAAATTAAAAGGAAAAGTACAAGATGAATAACC